CTAACTAGCGGGATGCCGCGCTTCGCGCGGCACCCGCTAGATGGGTAGAGTTGACTGTTTCGTAATAATTACTGTACACAATGAAATCTCGATAATTTAAACTCTAATAACTCCAAACAACTGTTAAGTCAAATAAAGAATCATACCCTCTGCTGCACGCGAGGCGCGAGCCTATTTGGACTCGCCATCAGTCTCGCCTAATTTGTATTTGCGTTCAACGTGCGCGTACATAACGTTTCCTGCGGAGATTGTGCGAGGGTCCAGGACATATTGTCAATATAGGGGAAGGGGCTAGCTAGGGTGAAGGGTGCTAGTTGGAACGCCCAATTTCCGTGAAACCCGTCGACATGTCACCAATATTTCCGGGGATGGGGAGAAACATTTCCAGGGATGGGGAGAAATGGTTTTTGTTATAGAGGGGAGATGGTGATATTGAAATCGCTGATGTTGTGGAGGTTTATGTTTGTGCTGGGATTCATACCGTTTAAATGTTTTAAATTGCGCGCCGATTAGGAAGGTCTTGCTGTCAACAGCTGAATGAAATTAAGTATTCATTGCCGACCGATTGTCTCATGCGGTGTCTCATTATATAAAGCTCATAAATAATGTTGTGCAGGAATATTGTCCAGTCAATTTGAACACTGAATTTTCAAGGTGCCAAACCATTAAGGACGTATACACCAACTGTACAATTAGGTAATTTAGATGAAACGCGGTTTGATCTTGGCCTATACAACGTCGTATCCATCGTTCTCACTACAGAGGAGAGGAGGGGGCAGCCAGTGGGGGTGGGGTTGGGTATTGTGTGGGCGTCGCCAGAATTTTTTCTAGAGGGGGGCAAAACATATTTTTGCCCACAAAATGCCTGTTTTTCTCAACACATTCTCGATTTATCAGTTTTAGAGGGGGGCAGAGACATTTTGCTCCCCCCCCAACCCATTAAATTTACACCACTATGACTTTTTTTTTGGCTTTTCCGGAGCCCCCCCCCCCCCGCGACGCCCATGCCTATTTATGTTACACCTGTGAATGGTCACTTATATTTCCGGGGAAGTGGGCAACAATTTATATTTCTTATGGTGAAGGGGGTGTTTCTTATGTATTAAGTAGAAGTTAATGTCATTATAGCAGTTGGTGTTTTTATTATGGTGATGGGGTTGTACAGCAAAGTATCGTAACACGTTTATTTGCAGAAGAGAGTAAAACTAAAAGAAAGGACATATTGGAGCACTTCATAATTATGTCAAGCACCACATGTAAAATGTATTTATTACAAAACTGTGAAAATGAAATCAGGTATACACACATTTTTTTTGTAATAATGTATTTGCATTCATTACTGTACAGGGTAGTACTTCGACAAAACTCAGGGGATATAATTGTAGTCAGTTTTAGGAGCAATTTTCGCAAGGGACGTCGGTCCAGGCTTGTTTACCATAGGCACAAACATTCCATGAAAGACTTTCAAGCAAGACGGCCAAAGGTTATTGTGCAATTGCAGTTTTTTTGTGTTAAACGCTGTAATCATAAATAATGACAGTGGCATTGTAAGTTACAGGACAACATTTTTTTAATGAGTGTTGGTGAAAACTCATGAGAAACGGAGGGGTATGCGATCATGAATATTTTGTTGTGAAATTTTAAGAGTGATTATGTAATTTGGTAATCAAAGACATTGTTTTGTTATCAAATAAGTTTGCCAGGATCGACACAGTCTGCTTGGCCAGTAATTATCGGGTAATCATTCCATCATTATTCTTGGGTACAACTAAGCCAAGGATATAATTTTAAAAAAAGGATGGACATCAAACAGCAGAAAAGAGTGATTTTTTTTGGCACTATTTCATGACTTCTAAAAATAAAATTATGGCTAGAAGGAAAATGTGTTTTGAATGGGTAAAGAGAAAAAGCAGGAATCTTGCAGTTGAACTTGAAAGAATAGGTGTCTTCGTCTTGAGTTGAGATTATTGCTTTAGGAACTGGTTGAAGCATGCACTGGAGCATGTTTGGAGCATGATTGGAGCTGGTCATGTGATGTGGGTGTCATCGGGGGAGCTGGTCATTGGTGTCATCGGGAGTCCTGTGTAAAGGAGTTAGAAAGAAAAGAATAACGACTAAGGTGCAGAAAACTTGCAATACCCCATTTATGCGGAATGCACTACTGAAGTACTAACCAAACATGCCAAACAACGAAACATGTCTTATATGTTGTATTTTTGTGAAAGATTTTAGTTTGCATCATTTGTATGGAATGAATGTACATTTCATGGCTTATATACAAATGCAGCAGTTTTTTTGTAGCTAGTAATGAGTAGTAGTAGTAGGCCTAGGCTTAGGACTAAAACAAACTAAAGCAAAATCCAAAAATAAACTACCAACAAAGCCCAATTGTGAAATCAAAAGTTGACAAAGTTCTACAAACATGTTCGGGTACATGTTCCAAGTGAGGCCTGTAGTTGCAGAGGTCATGCAGCATGCAGTAAATTGGCCACATTAAGCCTAGCTAAGTACATGTAAACACACGGCCAAACTCGGGCCGAGGCCTCCCCCCGTACAACCCTCCCCGTACAACTCTCCCCGTACTACAACCAGACTACGCCATCATTGGACACTTACAAACTCACACTTTTCACAAACAACAATGCTTCTCAATGCCAGTGGCGTTCGAAAGAATACCACTTTTCTCAAACAAAAATACATATCATAAATGAGACTTACCGTTCAAAGAGAAAACTGGAGCAAGGAGGAACAGATACATCAACCATGTCAACAACGCTGTGCTGTTGCATGCGCTGCATGCTCATAACGAACGTATACGTGGCACGTCAATTATCCGGCCCGTACGCTGCATGCTCATAAACGAACGTATACGACGTGGTACGTCAATTATCCGGCCCGTACGCATGATGGCCGGCGCGGCCGGCTCAATGGGGAAGGGAATTATGGGAAATAGGGTGGAAATAGCCGGGCCCCGTTCCGCATCCCCCGCAGCCAACGGGCGCGATGGGGACGGGAGACCGGTCTTGAAAATGGCAGCGCCCACCAATCATTTTCGTGATTGTAGTATAGAAGTTACTAGCGGGATGCCGCGCTTCGCGCGGCACCCGCTAGATGGGTGGAGTTGACTGTTTCGTAATAATTACTGTATACAGTGAAATCTCGATAATTTAAACTCCAATAACTCCAAACAACTGTTAAGTCAAATAAAGAATCAGACGCTCTGCTGCACGTGAGCCTATTTGGACTCGCCATCAGTCTCACCTAAGTTGTATTTGCGTTTTGCGCGGCACCCGCTAGATGGGTGGAGTTGACTGTTTCGTAATAATTACTGTATACAGTGAAATCTCGATAATTTAAACTCCAATAACTCCAAACAACTGTTAAGTCAAATAAAGAATCAGACGCTCTGCTACACGCGAGCATATTTGGACTCGCCATCAGTCTCACCTGAGTTGTATTTGCGTTTAGCAACGTGCGCGGACATAACGTTTCCTGCGGAGATTGTGCGAGGGTCCAGGACATATTGTCAATATAGGGGAAGGGGCTAGCTAGAAGGTTATGACATGTGATGCATGATGGAGTAGGGAACCTGTCGGGTAAAAGTGTGTACGAAAACCCGACCTGGTTACATATAGAATATCTATGCCCTGTACGTGAATACCATTGATCTCCATATATGGAGATCAATGGTGAATACTCGCGCCGGCACGCGCTTTAAACAGCAAAAACGGCCTCTGGCACGTGATGGTGAATGGACCAGTGAGCCTTCGGCTCTTGATCATGAATATATATGTATGAGGTATAGTAATTTGCTTTAATTACTATACCTAATACATATACATGATCGAGAGCCCTTGGACTGTCACTGGTCAATTCACCATCATGTGCCAAAATAATATCTGCCAAATTTCGTTGGCGATTTACGAATTATGTAGCAGATGGATCGGAATTCAACAGGCCCCAATGACAATTAAAGGGACACTGGGTCCTAGAACAGCCCAATTGGGCTACACAAAACGCGCTTTGAACGAGATGATGGTAATCGGAAAGAACAGTTAAAAGTAGGATATAAACCAACCTCGTCCCCAGTGCTTACTTTATTTCCAACCTCGTTTCCAATTGTAAGCCCTGGATAGGAAACTTTCTTCCTGTATCCTGATTCGATACCGCAATTGGCTTGAAATGGATTTATATCGTGTAATAGCTTGGTGTTGTTATTCACAACGTGCAGTACGTGTTTTAGCGATCATTCGTCCACGCCTTCTCGAAAATATTAATTTCATTTCCAATTTGTTAGTATTAATATGAAATGTGATACCGCATGTTGTCTCGTTAAGATCGTAACAGTTTAATTAAAATAAAATTGCGTTTTCGTAACTCGCGCCATGCTCGCGCTGCGACGAATTGATTATGTTTTTACCCCAGACACCGCATACAAAAACAAACGCAAATGTAACGCACAGGTAGGCACCAGACTACTCCTCATTTGCACACGTGTTCAAAATCTTGCACATGCAAATGATCCAATACCAGGGTAAGAGAGCAGGTAGTGGTGGGCGCGTACTGCTCGACATCCTGGGGACGAGGTTGGATATAAACATCCACCCAACTATCCTTTAAAAACTGGGCGTTTTGTGTTATTCCCGTATTATGCGTGCGAAAACGAATTTCGGGGTCCACTTTTGCGACCCCATAAATTCGAGCTGTTTTGATGCTAGTTGTGATTTCATTCGCAAAGTGTTCGCCTTTTGCGGACGTTGAAGAAACCATATTTTTTGAATTGGTGATTGGTCACCGCTGTTCCGCTGGTCACCGAGACACACAACGTGTATATCGTACACCGAGAACGACACGAAAAACGTATTCGTACTCGGTTGTGTCCGATGTAAACAACCGTTTTTTCCGTCTTTTTTCGGGAACGGTAAGACATAAGGTTGGTTTCCTTTCAACCAGATGTTTGAAATAGGCTAAGTAACCAATCCAAAAGATGAAATTTTCGGGGATTTCAGGAGCTAGTGCCCCTTTAAGTCGCTTGGCCTCACTGTGTATATATAGTCTCCACTCAATTCGCCCCACGGCATCATTGTTCGATTCTGTATTCAAAGTCATGAGTGCGCCCTCAATGAGTTATGTTTTGTAGTTGGCTAGAATCCAATCTGACTTTGACAATCACACGGCTACTTCCGCCTTGTATGGCGTTCTCAGCATTTGATACCTATCCACCATCCGATCAGCACTGCAAACGTTGGATCGGGACCGACAATTAATTGTTATTAAGGAGGGACCTACCCATGCCAATTTGAGGAACACGGTAATAATATATTCCTTTTTTTTCCGAGTTGAAAAAGCTATACATAACGGGCCTATAGGCCTACTTACAGTACAGACATCATAGAGAGCTAGAGGCGTACTGTTTAGCTAGATACTTAACTAATGAAGTAATAAACTTCTAAAGTTCATTTTTTATGTCGACGAAAATATACAGCTACTTTAATTAAAGTGGGGCACACAGGGAATTGGATATAAAATCAAGACACTCCAAATGTATCTTGAGTAGTTAAGCCAGTACATGAAAGCGTGAGTCCAGGGTTCCTCGATGCACAGACGTGTGTGATTATGTCCCCCGTCTTTTAATACAGTTTGTTGTTATCAGGAAATTTCAATAGAATCAAATGAATGACATGGAAACAAAGTTAAAACAGAACAAACTAAAAATGTGATATTTGAAGGATTCGAACTGGTGTGGCAACAACCGCTGAAATGTTACTGCGAGCAAATGACTCGACTCGACTCGAGTCCCTCATCAGAATGACTCGACTCGACTCGAGGAAGGCTAATAAGACTCGAGTCCCAAAATAAAAGCAAAACTTACTTGCGAAAAATATTTGCAATGACTTACGCTGCGCCGTTCGCGTTGCCAGTTTTTGTTCACGTCACGTTAATGTTCGCGAATAATGTACGTTTATATACAGCGGCAGTCTGTTTCCTTCCTCCATAATGAAACAACAAACATACACCGCGTCGCGGACTCCCACCTTGTGGTTCTATAGCATGTAATGCTAAACCCGGAACCAGACTTAAAACGCATTTCTCAATCCGTGGTTTCATCATTGGTTTCGCGCGATTTTGAAGTTCTTGGTGGAATGCTGGCTAAATTCATGTCCCGATTTCACACCAAAAAATGGATACGGACGGGCCCACCTTTAAATAATCAGAAACAGTTTTGTATAATGCAATTAGGTTTTAACGTTGTCAGCGATCAGCGAACAACAAAATCTAGACCCGAAGCCAAACCAGTTATAAGACCGAAGTTTCACATCTTCTTATCTGTGACGTGAGCTAGCAATGGAAACTGTTGGTTGGGTACCATACAGCATACTTTATGTTTTTGGATTTCCGTAATAGACTGGTGCCTTGTATTCTTTCTCTCTTGTGTTTGTTGCTTTTTATTGTAATTTAGTGTTCAAATATTTGTGACTCGAATCGACTCGAGCTAAGTACTTGACTCGACTCGACTCGACTCTACCATACTCTGTGACTCGACTCGACTCGACTCGACCTTGTTGACCTAATGACTCGACTCGACTCGAGTCACTTCTTTAAAATGACTCGACTCGACTCGAATGTCGGACACTTCGCCCCATTTCCACGTCGCCCCATGTCACTTCGCCCCTAACCACTTCGCCCCATCCCCACTTCGCCCCATTCCCACATCGCCCCATCTCCGCTCTGCCCCATTCCCACTTCGCCCCATTCCCACTTCGCCCCATCCCCACTTCGCCCCATCCCCACTTCGCCCCAGCCGTTACATGTAAAAAAAAAATCTCATCTATTTTATTGGCTTAAAAAAACAATTTCAACAGATTCACTAATTGCTAACCAACGGAAAGAATTAGCCCATCACTAAAATGAACAAATCATAACCAACCTCTCAAGCTAGGCTCTCCACTACCGAGAAAAAAGCTTGAAGTAAAAGATCCAACTTTGTTCCCAACCCGGCTATATACCAACCCGTCTCCCACTTATCTGAGAACGACAATACCTTTGACATCCTAATTTCACTCTTGGAGGAACCAATCTCATCTAAATGAAGTTGTAAGCCACGTCACATATCAGACAAATTTTGACGGAACATTTTCCTCAAGGCAGTGAGTTCCTTTTAACTCACTGACCCATCTACGGATTCTTTTGAATCCAGCGGCTATGATGATTTTATTCACAAGCCAATAGGAGAGGCGTCTCTGAATGGGATAGAGCCATCATTTCTCTCATCTGTGTCTCGAGCACCTCATCAGAGAGTTTGTATTTTTCCTAAGTTTCTAGAATTGGGAGCATTTATTATCTGGGGTCTTTGGCAGTTTATTTGGTCTGCACCCCTAGCCTTCACCTTTTTCATACTACATGGGGCGAAGTGGGGATGGGGCGAAGTGGGGATGGGGCAAAGTGGGGATGGGGCGAAGTGGGGATGGGGCGAAGCGGGGATGGGGCGAAGCGGGGATGGGGCGAAGCGGAGATGGGGCGATGTGGGGATGGGGCGAAGTGTAGATGGGGCGAAGTGGTTAGGGGCGAAGTGACATGGGGCGACGTGGAAATGGGGCGAAGCGTCCGACACCCCTCGACTCGAGTCACAAAAATCAGTGACTCGTTACAACTCTGGTTTCAAGTTCTTTCTTTCCCTGATACTGTGATCGTCGTGTTTATTTCTTTCTTCATATCAGCGGGAGCACGCTGATAATACTGTGATCGTCACGTTTCTTTCTATGATCGTTGCGTTTCTTTCTCTCTTTATTATCAGCCGTGATAGGGCTCCGTGCACAAGTACCCCACCAACAACCAGAAAATGAGAGTTGGGGTGACCTGGATTGGTTCCTGATCATTGATCTCCATATACACAGACATATGGAGATCAATGTTCCCGATCCATCCACTACGAATTTCGAATGTATCCGAAGTTATTGGAGGCGGGGATTAGTCTCGGAGACCATCGCAAGTCAACCTCGTCCCCAGGGTGTCGAGCAGTGCGCCCCCACCACTACCTGCTAATGCAAACGAGGTTGGAAATAAAGTAAACACTAGAGACGGGATTGAATTTGAACTGCTGTATTCGCGCGCCGGCGACGCCTGACGCTCACGCAAAGACAGTGGCCAATAGCATTCAGGAAGTCGTGTGTAGGCCGCGCGAATTATGCGCACGCTGTGTGTCCCGTCCACGCATAGACATCCACGGCACAGACATAGTCAGCCTCAACCTCGTTCCCATGGGTACGGGATCTTGCTGCGCCATGTTGTTTCCTATCATGTCTTGCGCGATCTTAACCCCTGGATTTGTCTCATTTAAATGTGTCAAAATATGGCACATTGCGTACGGTACCGACTGGCTCCATGCACGCAAAATATCGCTGCAATGCGCATAGTCTGGACCAAATGAGGCTGACTTAGATTCGTCGCAACCAGGCCGATTACGTACAAGTCTTATACCAGCCGGAGTTCGACTGAAGTTCACGAACAAATACGACTATCTAACGACTTGTCATCAAGTCTTATACTGTGATCGTCGCGTTTCTTTCTTTCTTTGGGCAAACGCTCACAAGAACGCTATAGAGGGTCCCAATAAACATTGTGCATTAAGAATCGCTGATTTTCTCAACAGTTGGTCAGACTAAGCTCATCGCATTTTATATTATTTTAAAGCCTATGGTCTTGTTTATAATTGGTAAAAATATGAAGAAAAAAATCCATCCATGGAAAGCAGAGATATCGTTGATTTTGTAAGGCTATATTATTTTCCTCCTGCACAATTAGAATCCTGTAGTTAAGCATGTTAACTTGAAAGAACGTAAAAAGGGTCTATACAACATTGACGCTCGAGTAATTTGCAATTAGAGCAGTTACCACGTGATTTTGAACATGCCCGGATTAAGTTTTCGTATAGGCCCTAGACACCAGTGTTCCGTAAGCCCTACCCGGTGTAGCGTGAATATCCGACTCCATGAAATATGGACTCATTGGTAGTATTGCGCATGCGTAAGTAGGATAACATGCTATTTTTAGAATCATAATGGAAGAATGACCTGTCACGTGCGAGGGATTATCCAATAATAGGGAAAAGGAGTAGGATTTTCACAGGAGTCGGATTTTCATATGACACCAGCACCTAATCCATGTTGATGCTATTAATGTACAAAGTCAAGACAGGACTGGTATAGGTCCTAGCTCTAAGCCTGCTGGCAACAAGGGCGTCAATCAATTCTCAAAAAGTGGGGTCCCCAATTTGGCGATCGTGTACAAACATAATGGAGGTCTTCTTAAAATGAGCAAACTAAAGAGGGGCAAGGGGGGGGGGGGGGGGGATGGGTCCCCGATTAATTGCAAGCAAGCATACACGATTGTGTGTGTGGGTACACGCCTATTTATGTGTTTTATGGCACACTGCGGTATTTTCGTAGGCCCCCGAATTGCACAGTGCCTACTGGGTAATCCAGGCCTGCTTTTGAATAATCTTCGATGAACAATCAAATAAACACCCTCTAGCTATGTTGTTTGTTCTGTTATTTATTTACAAATTGAGTTTTTTTACATAAAGGCCACGCAATATTTCAAGCACTGCGTAACATAACACATACCAATTCATGCACAAGCAAATACTAAGTGAGGAAATTAGATTGCAGGTCGAAAAATACATAGCCTTACCAAATCAATGATATCTCTGGTTTGCATAGTTGAATTTTCTTGATTTTTTCACCAATTATAAACAAGACCATAGGCTTGAAAATGCTATAAAATTTGATTAGCTAGTCTGATCAACTGTTGAGAAAATCAGCGATTTCTTCATGCGCAATGTCTATTGGGGCACCCTGTAATGCGACTTATAGTGAACTCGTGAACACGATAAACACGACGCGATTGGAACGCAGTATAAGGCCCATTGGGTTGAAACTTGGTATGTACGTCGACAGGGAATTATGGATGGAAACTGAAGTGACGTCATGATGACGTCATTACGTGTCACTTGACGTCACATTAAAAGTGCATTTTTCTATGTCCTATATCTGCAGAACTATAGGTCCGATTTGGTTGTATCTTGGTATGTACCTAACCAGGGATGAGTATAGATGAAAAATTGAAGTGATGTAAAGATGACGTTATCGCATGAAAGTGGCGTCACATTAAAGGTGATTTTACAAGCCTATATCCACGAAACTATTGACAATGATCACATTGCAACTTTCTACTGATTTATGTCCGATCAGTCTATAACATGACATAAAAATACAACATCAAATTACCGAAACAGCCATGATTGTGTTTGTCCACAAACATAAGTCTGGTTTCAATTTAATATTTCTTGTCAAAGATGCGTTCCCTATGATATTTTCGAGTGTGACCTAGAAAAATAGATTTGTTTTTCCAATTGCTGTTTACCGATAGCAATATATTGTTTTTCACTTTTGAATAAGACATCGAACGTAAACAATTCACTGACGTTTACTTACTGAATTATTTCTTCACAAAAATCGAATTATTGGCTGACAGACGCTAAATCGGCTCTCGCGGGACAGGTTCACTGATTATACGCAAAGTGAAATTCCTTTTTCAAAGGGATACAGACGCCTAAAATCAGAATAAAGTATTTTCTTTGTTAAAACAAAACATACCAGTAAGGTTTCGTGAAAAAAACTGAAGGGCACGGGGCATGCATCTTTAACGAAAATAATGTCCTTTCTAATTAAATATCGCACAAAAAAAATCCATGGCAACATATTAAAGTTTCAATTGTTTTAACTCCTATTTTACTTCCACGATTCATTTAAAAGGTACGTTGGAAGGACAAGCCAGCACCCAATCAAACATTGACGAAGAAGCTGTCTACCGGTGACTTTGTGTCAATGTGAAGGACAATAATTAATTGGCCTTTCAAAGAATTGGTGGGGTGGGCAACTGGCCGTTTGATTCTCCCCAAACTAACGCGAATCCAGTATATGTGACTGCACCACTGCTAAAGTTATCTGTTTGAGTCTTATTGACAGAACTGGGCATCACAGTGTTGCAATGACTCTTAGAAAGAGCTTCCTGATTTTAGCGGTAGTAGTTATAAGCAATGTCATTCTCCTGGTGTTCGTCCTTCCCAGTCGCTATAACTTTGCATGGCATCGATGTCTTACCACGGCTCATCAGCCGATAAAATGTAATTGCACAGACAGTGTGAAGGACACAATTGTTAACTCCCACGAGTATAAACTCCTCATAAATGAACCTCAAGCTTGCTACGATACTGCAGGTTCCCCCAGGGAAGTGTTCTTGCTGGTGTTCATCGCAACAATTCACGCGCACACCGAACAGCGACAGGCGATTCGCGAGACCTGGGGAAGCCCACGAGACGTCAGAGGAAAACAGATCGTCACACTGTTCCTGTTGGCTCAAAACAAGGACGCTGCTCTTCAGCAGCAGGTGGAGAAGGAGTCCAGCAAACACCACGATCTCCTCCAGGAAGATTTTCAAGACACCTACAAGAACCTGACACTCAAGACCATTATGGGTATGAAGTGGGTCAGTACACACTGCCGCCACGCCTCCTACGTTATGAAGACAGATGACGACATGTACGTCAGCTATGACAACCTCGTCAAACACCTGACCGACGCAACAACACTGTCAACAAATTATGCGGTGGGGCGTCTCCACAAAAATATCTTCCCTATTCGGGACCCAAAAAGCAGGTGGTATATGTCGAAGGAATTGTATCCTGGACGCATGTACCCGCCATACCTCTCTGGAGCAGGATACGTGGTCACTGGGGATTTAGCCGGGAAGATTTACCAAACGTCTTTGAAACTTCAATACCTGCACATCGAGGACGTTTTTGTAGGTGAATGCTTGAAATCATTGAATACTATGCCAAAGGATAACAGTCAGTTTACATGTTGGTCAAACACTGAGTATTCGTACTGCGATTCACATCGGATGATCACCATGCACAATTTCTCTTCATCACGTATGCGTAAGTTATGGAGCGACCATCAACGCCAAACTAAATGCTAAAATGAAACGGACTGAGTTACATCTTGAAAGTTTTATTTTACATTCGTTTGGCTTTGTTCTTGCGTTAAAAATGAATTTGTAAGAGCTAACAGTGGCCTGTCAGTGACATTATTAAATTTAGTTTAAAACATTAGGTGTCCAAGGGCGGATCCAGGGGGGGGGGGCCAAAGGGGGCCATGGCCCCCCAAAAATCGAAACCATTTTTTTTTTTATGTGACATCGCAATAAAGGCAGGCAATGAGTACACCACCATCTTTTCCTCAAAAAAACATTGGTTAAAGTGGTCAGAAATTGCCTCAGATCGCACCGCAGAGCATCTAGAATCCAAAAAAATTTCGGGGCCCTTAAGCGGGCCCCGAACCACACGCCGTAATTTTTTTGACCCACTTTTTTGGGGGACCAAAATTTTTTTTTGCCCCCCCCCAAAAAAAATTGTGTTCTGGATCCGCCCTTGTAGGTGTCCATCTATGCGGGCAGCAAACAATTAACTTTGGTTTAATTGGCCACAATTTCAACCGTGTTTGCCAACGCCGTTAGTAGTATATATTGCGTATTTGACCTCGTTTTCTGGTGGAGGATCATGGGAGGAGTGGAGGTGTGTCTGTGATGAGGTGACGTCATGGATCGATGGCATGGTGACCGTTTTAGCCAAATTTCGGCTAAATTTGACAGAATTTTTCGTAAAAAACGAGTTTGACAGAAAAATTGACAGAATGGTTTTTTTGGCAGATTTCTGGCAGAATTCTAAAAAATGGTTATTTAACAGAAAAAAACATAGCAAATTTGATCTATTCGAGCAAACCCTTGCATAATGGGACAGTTTGCCTGGTCTAGCTGCTGAGGTTCACTTGCATGGAACCGCGATTTTGCCTGAAATTTACGCAACTTCATAACATATTTATGTGTCTACAGATTGTTTCTAATGTAATTTGAACCTTAATTAAGGCAATACTACAACATCTGCATGTGATTTTAAGTGTTTATAGTGTGTTTCGAGTGATTCTGGGGAATTTGGCAGATTTTTGATTAATCTGACAGATTTAGGAAGTGCATTAAGCAGTTGAATTTTGGCATGACCTTACGGTCACCTTGATCGATGGACAAATCGATAGGAAATTAGTGTTGAATGCGTACTATTGTTAGAAGACAATAATTTTGTACACCAAAAGGAGGAAAATGGAATGCGACGGACGGCGACTATGGAGGCATCCGTTACTGACACATTGCCGTAAAAGTTGGTACCCTAATAATTCTACACAAAACCATGGTCTACTACAAAGACTTCGGCGCTAGGGGTGGACAAAACCCCTAGCGCAGTATACATAGTCTATGGTCATGATACGTGAGGCAACCGCTCCTGAGATTTCCATCAATCGGCGGGCGCTTTCTATATCGGGTCTTCGGTCATTCACGCAAAGCGAGTCATAGACATGGATAAAAATAACCCCACTAGACACAGCAACAATGGCTGTGGTCACGTACGCGCTAAATCGCGATTTATGAGGGTTTACAGAATTTCTACGCGAGCTCATTTGCATCAAAAGTGCCCCACAACTTTTTTTGAAAAAAGAGACCGTCTGGTTTAGAAAAAAACGGTGGAATTGTGCAACTTGATAAAGCCAAGGGTCAACTCCCTGGTATTTAGGCTTCCATCTGAGGGCAGACTTGATTAAATTACGAATGAGAAAATGGGTCTCATTTGCCCAAGAAAATGTGGGGGTGTCTTTTGTATATGGATGCATTTGCATATGCACGCAGGCTTGGCCAATGAACATTAACCTTGCTCCATGCCATTACTGACACTGCGCGGTAAAAGTTGGTACCCAATTCTACACAAGACCCCCAGCACGGGGATTTCGTGCTCAAACCTTTTCGGACGGCCTAACACGCTCAATGATGACTTCGGCAAAAACCGCAAACCGCATCATCAAAATTAAGTTTACGAGAATGTGTTCGTAATGTCGCGCGGTTTGTTGGATTTGTTTTTTTTTTCGTGATTTGAGCATAGTCAATATTTTAAGGCGGATATCTAAGAAAACAGATTCTTCGCATACTTTCTTGAATTGAAAATGTCTTATCTCTCTTTTTGTAGTTGTTGTTTAATTTGTTTATTTTTTTAATTTCATTTTATTTTATCTCGCGACATATTTCCACTGTTGTTGATGGGACCGTTAACTAAATTGCAATTATACCTTTTTATTTTTAGATAGGTGAATGAGTGTATACAATTAGTTAATGTATAAAAAATATATATATACATGTATAAACAAGTTTAGAAGTATCAAAAGACGACGAATGGCGGTGCCGTAGAAACAAGTCTGAGCAGAGTATTTTGATCATTGCGAGAAATCTTGACCAGGATTGGATCAGAGTTTACAAGGTTAGTACCTTACTGTTCTTGTCACCTTTGATCATGATATATATATTATGGGTCGCCTAATATTATAATATATCGGTTTTCCCGGCCAATTCCCGGCAATTGTTCATTCACTTCTGAAAATCGGTCATTCGTTTTCGTCTGAATTTGAGAATCGCTCTGAACACGCGTTTCATTTTCGCTACCAGAGCATTCTATTCCATTTCAGTTCAATCATTTGCTAATTTCTTGCGTTTTTTTGGCTCCTCAAGTTTTACTCATTTCGACCTGCTCATTTATATTGCTCGTTTCAGCAAAGTTTCAGCTCAGTTTGTAAATAGTCAGCGAGCTTATGTCAAGATTAATGTACGAATAACTCAAGAATCATCCAGAATGACCCAGAATTATGCCGATTTCATGAATACGAATGCCAATAAGAACAAAGACTGAATAAGCTAAACGTAATGCAAACAAGTTCCCAAACAATCCCGAACTAAGCCAATTTCAGTCAGAACAAGCCAGAATCACCCAGAACGAGGCCGAATCCAGGCGATACCGGTATATAAACCGATCCAGACAAGCGCTCATCGTCCGTTCCAGTTTGCTGAGCATCGTAGATCTCCACTATTCTGGCTCAATTCGTACTAAATTCTGTTTAACTTGGTTATTCGTGATCCATTCTAAACAAAATCCTGGTGTATTCGTAAGTTATTCTTAATATAATATTCGTACATTTCTTTTAACCCCTCAGCCGAGAGGCGTCCGTCCGTCCGGACGCCCCACAAATGGGGTATGGTCAGAATGTCCGGACGTCAGAATGGGCGGGCGTCCGTGCGGGCAGCTCAGTTTCCGGATGGTAACTTAAGTTAGAAACCTTCGGTAGGGGGTTGCCCTTGGGAGTAGGCAAGTTGGGATTGGTTTTAGGTCAGAAGGTCAAAGGTCATGGTCACCGTGGTGAGTTAAATATTGTTCTCGGATGATAAGTTGACTTAGAAATGAGATTTTTGTGTCAAACTTTGGTAGGGATTGGTTTGGGTCACAGTGGTGAGTTATAGGTAAATGGTTCCCGCATGATAACTTCAGTTAGAAATGTGATTTGGGTTTCTAACTTTAGAATGGGATTGCCCTTGGATACAGGCAAGTTGGGATTGGTTTGGGGGTCAAAAGGTCAAAGGTCAAGGTCACAGTGGTAAGTTTAAGGTTATGGTTTCCGGATGATATTTGACCCCGGCTGAGGGGTTTCAACAGGATCGCTGTTATTTTTACATTTGTAATGATTCGGCATGATTCTGGACTGTTACTACTAAAGCCCGTTAGTGCCATCGAATGTATAAATTGCTCTTTTGCAAGTATAATTTTTGGTGAATCTTGTTTTTGGATTATGTTTAGCAAGTCTTGCTTTTTGGATGTATATATTTGGCGAGTCTTGTTTTTTTTTATGTATTTGTTAAGAAAGTCTTGTTTTTTGAATGTATATATTTGACGAATCTTGTTTTGTGCGAGTATATGTTTGGCAACTCTTGCTTTTTGCAAATATGTTTCCCGAGTCTTGCTTGTTGCAAGTAGCCAGAGTATATCCTGCACCGCGCTGGCGTCGGTGCAGGATACAACGCATGAGGGCGCATTGGACATGGTGGACTCTTCCAGATCTGCAGGTAACGATTTTCAAATAGAAGAGTCTTTTTCTGTTCCTCTTTTCAATGATATTAGTTTTTTAAGCCGAGAGAAGATTCACGTACGCCGTTCATTGTAGCTTTGATGCTTTACTCTTTCACTTTCTGCTATCGGCATGGCTACTTTCATCGCAAACAACAGCGCCCTCACCCCCACAGACTCGGGAAACATGTACTTGCAAAAAAAAAAGACTCAGGAAACATATACATCCAAAAAACAAGACTTGCTAAATTTATACTAGCAAAAAAAACAAGATTTGCCAAACATATACTTGCAAAAAACAAGATTCGCAAAACATATACATGTACTTGCAAAAAATAAGATTCGGGAAACATAGGCTATACTTGCAAAAAAACAAGATTCGGCAAACATATACTTGCAAAAAAACAAGACTTGCTAAGCATATACATAAAAAAACCAAGACGTGCTAAGCATATGAGTAAAAAAACAAGACTCGCCAAATATATACGTCCAAAAAAGAAGACTCGCTAAAATATACATCCAAAAAACAAGATTCAACAAACATAAAAATTATACTTGCAAAAGAGCAATTTATACATTCGATGGCACTATTGGGCTTTCGTATGTTACCACCAAAAATAACTCTACGAAACGTGTAAAAATGCTGTAAGAATACTAGAATTAGTTACGAATACAACAAGCATAAACCAAGAATTGAAATTGGTTCCCGAATCAGCCCGACAAAATTGAATAGGCCTATGTCCAAAATTTTCGGGGATCTTTAACGATCTTTAACGATCTTTCACCGAACTAACAGAATCATCCCGAGGCAGCCAAGAACCATTCCCCGATTTACTCAAGAATTGCTAAGTATTCGCAGCGATTTGGCTAAAAATCGGGAATGTGTGAACCTAGCATAAAGAACCTTGACTATCATTGATATCATTTTCCCAACCTCAGGAAAGTGTTTTATGGCCACTGAGTTTGAGCTACATATTTGACACATTATTATTACTTGATCCGGACAAAAAGCTTATTGTTTAAAAAAAAAAAAACAACTCAAATCTGCATGCTGATATGCTAGGTTAGGCCTGTTTGTTTAAAAATGTCTAATCTGAATTGTAAAAACATTGCAAACTGTCAGTTTTTATCTGATAAAGTTAGAATTTTAGAGATGAATTTGAATTTGAATTACTAGAGGGGCCTACAGTGTTTAGTTTTAAAAATTCACATTTTTAATTTCAATTTAATTAATATTCCTACTTTATATATATAAATTGCTTGATTTGGTCTAGTTTGTGGGGAGGGGTTTGTTTTCTGCTCTGTTTTCTGCTCTGTCCGGGGGTGTCCACATGTGGTTCAGACTTTTTAATTACAGTACAGTGTTATGTTATCTATTTTTGAGTTTTACATAATCACATTTATCCTTTTATTTATATGAATAGTTTGAAAGCGCCAGGGAGCATCTTTAAAATGGATTCGGCGCTATAGAAATTCCCATTATTATTACTTTTATTAAGTTTCCCACGTAAGGCGAGAAAGGCGACCCTTCGCCTTATTTAAGCCCAGTTTACGGACAGCCAGCTCGTTTTCTCTCCCGTTTTCTTTTTCTGGGCTAAATATCACAATGTTTCATTGTACACATGATTTTCCATAAAGTTTTCATAGGGTCACTGTGCCAGTAAGCAACTTGGTGAATTTGAAGCTCATCGGTGCTGAGGTTTGGCAAGAGTACACGATGATTTCTGGACACGAGGTAAATGCGCGCAATTTGAAGGTAGTACTAGTAGCCATTCGGGATGTTACTATGTCCTCATAATTATTCAGCCACTTATATGCTTAAAAAGGGTGTGTAAGTAGAATCATCAAAACAAACTTTAAAAAAAATATATACAGAATATACCGAAATATGGGAATAAATATACAATACGGCAGGGATTAGAGATTTATGCAAATTAGGTATATTTGGGTCAAAATTAAGGGTGGCATGCACCTACATTTTCTCCTGCATTCTTTGACTGATCTGACATGGTTGCCTGCTGCTACCAAAACTGTCGTCCAATTCATGTATTCCACGTTGGCTGGTCCACTATACAGGGTGAGTACCCCCCCCCCAATTGTCGGGACTATTGACTTAGTGAAGTTCTGCATGTAGCACTATCAAAATCTAGGATATGAAAGCCCAATTTCATAAGCTTTCTTTTAGTACAAGAGTAATTCAAATCACTCAAGTACTTTTCAAGTTACGGAATTTTAAACACAGCCACCGTTTTAAACTTCTGTCCACGGGTCAAAAAAAGGTGTGCGTTCAGCAACACGAAAACGACTCACGCACGTCCCTATGTGATTTGTATTTGCTGAAAGAATACTTACCTTTTTTGTGATCCGTGGACAGAACTTTCAAACGGCGGTTGTGTTTAAAATTCCTTGAAAAACTTGAAAAGTACATAGTGATTTATATACCTCTTGTACTAAAAGAAAGCTTGTGAATTGGGCTTTCATATCCTAGACTTGGAAAGTGCCACATGCAGAACTTACTAAAACAATGGTCCAGATATATGGGTTTCGTTTGTTTTTTAACTCACCCTGTATCTGAAAACTGGTTTAAGTGGTCATCTTTTGTTCGGGAGTCCACAATGTAATGCTTGTATACACGTCTAAGATACCAACCGCAGATTGTTTTTGTGATTCTTCTCATCGAGCCAACCAGTACAGCGGCACAACGGATGCCGATTTATTGATCTTCTTGTGGGCGGGGATGTAGGCCTGAGGGAGGGAGAGTCGAATATCGAGACCGTTTACAGTGAACGCAAAGGGCAAGGTTTTATTTCGATAAAACTAGAAAAGTGAGCTAGGAGGTCAATTTTTCCGAGAAAATTCAAAGCGTAAATGGAAATTTTTAGGGCAGACTAAATAGAATAAAAGGAACTGATGAAAACATACAAATAAATAAAAATGAGATTAAAGTTGATGTAAATTTTTTGTTGTCAATTTCATGTCAACTGAGAAGATAGCGATTCGAGGTACATTCATTGATATTGCTGTATACAACTTTATTTCCCTGATTTCAGATCCCCTCCTAAAAAAAGACACGTACATGTATATGTTTTTTTTAACGTAAAATCACTCATCCCTCTTATTGAAAACATTGTTTTGCGCCTAACAAAAATGGTATACATGTATACCAGCAAGATTGTCATCTATTAACCAGCATTCATTTTGGCTAATTTGATTTACAGTTTGATATCAATTTTCAATATTTTGTGGTGACCTCACCAAATTCACATTTATATTGAAGTGGAATAGAGTATACCATGAACAAATTCCTTGAAGTACTGCCAGGACAAGTTTGGTAGTTAAAACTTCATTTTTTTTCTGGAACCATCATGACAATCAGTGATTCCTAGGTCTGATAATTATGAATATAATGTAGAGGAGTCTGTTTCTAATATAATTATATTCAGTTGACATTAAATAGCAATGCATAGATATATGTAATCTTGTTTCTGAATTGCATGTTAACAGTTATACAAAACAAGTCTGAACTTACACAGAGAAATGTATACTGTCCATTGTTGAATTTCAAAGATTGCAGAGAAATGTATACTGTCCATTGTTGAATTTCAAAGATTGCATAGATGAGAACAGATGGAGGCTCTAGCAGATCATCTACTACATGTAATCTAGGTAATTTATCTAGTACCTGAAAACATCCATGTGTATATTGACTAGTATGTATTGTCTGTTTCTAATCCAATAAACAATGCAAACAACTAACATTGATCACAAACAAAATACTACATGCTACAGGTCAGGAAGACTGCAAGTTCAGCTCCCTACATGTAATATCCACACATAATGAAATACTTTCTAAAAACCAAAACAATTAAAGAATTTACCATACATGTACAACAATTCTTAGTTTGAATTCAAAATCATTTCTGCGATCGAATTATATAATTTTTGATGGAATTTTGCTTCAGGGAGATACATTTTCGTGCCAGGTTTTACCCTTCACTGACTTAACTTCGGAAGCTATGTATATTAAGTGATGGCCAAGAATCATGTGAGAAAACAATGCACAAAAGCTTGCTTAGTGGGGCGTGAACCCACAACCAAGTGCAGACATCTTAACCACTCAATCACTGAGCTAGTGGGATTGGCTGGCCAAGTGTAATCCAATGTAGTAGCAGGTGCATCAATCAATGCTTTTAATTTGAATCCAATATGCACAATTTTTCTGGATGTAACATCATTAATTGTGGTACTTGCTGCTATACTGAATGTGACTAGGCCAGCTTACCTGGCAAGCTAGTGGTGGAGGGACTCGCCACACATCATGTGTTCAAGTCCGTACCAAGCCAGCTGGTCATCTCTTGGACAGCACCCAGTGTTGTCAAACAATATCGTTTTTATGTCGGTGTTGGATTAAACTCAATAATAAAATATATAAATATCTATATACATGCACATATTACTGACACTTATTAATTTACACTAGGTGTTCCAGAGAGTAGGGTGTTTGCAACAGTTAGGAGTAACTACAGTATGTCCCCCAAAAATGTGTCCGTCTAAATAGTTTTCAAATAACAAACAAAACCATAAAATAAATTTTGAAAATATTTAACTGTACAGATACTCCTAATCCTTGGCCTAAACCCCTGTGAGTTCTATTTAATTTCCCTCATGTCTCACTGCACAATGGTCCATTGATCCGTACAATATTTTGGGTCACTGTGACCAAATTCCTTGCCTTTTTTTCAGTGCAAATGTACTGTGTTATGTAAGCTGAGTAAAATCCTTCATTTTGTGAAAAAGGGCTGTGGTTGGGGATTGAAATCATTTTGGAAAACTTTTCAAAATTTAATTTGTGGTGTTTCTGTTATTTCGAAAATACTGAGATGGACACTTGTTTGGAGACATAGTATACTGAAGGACTGGTGTACAGTCTGTTAGAATGACTGAAAGTGGGTACAACGGAAAATACATATAGTTTGCCCATCTGGAATTGAAATATATTTGGGTTCTACAGTTCAGCATAACTCTGAAACGCCAAGGTCTGGGATTCCATGAAGAGTGTCATTTTGTAAAAACAATTATTAAATAATTTTCCACATTCACAATAACTGCTATGTACACGGATGGAGACACCCAGGCACTCCTGGTGGATGGCAACATTTATAGTCAGTCAGTCCCAACTCACATCATCTTTGCATAATGATGTCTGTAGTGTCTTCATGTCATGAAGCATATGTTTGTTACTTTTACTCTCAGGACTAATGACCTGAATGGGCTTTGTCTTTATTCCGGTACCTCTGGTCCTGACGGTCGTGATGACTTTCACTTCCCCTTCATTTGAAGTCCCAACTTGTCCATTCATTTTGGATTTGGTGACATTGTTTGTCATCTTCTTCACTATCTGTAATTTAATGGAAAATTAAGTTATCGTTTACAGAAGTTCACCCAGAAATGATACAAGTATGGACTCATTTATTTTGTGTTCCTCTCCCAATATAGCTGATCACTGTATGGTTTTTATTCAACTATTGAACAGTTTGAAAATTGGGGGTGGTGGGTGGAGGAGGGGTGGGGTTAGGGGGTCTAACACCCCCCTTGGGCGCAAAAATAGGAAAATCATGCAGAACAAAAGGAGCACATGCCTGCTAACCCCCCCCCCCCCCCCACCAAGCTACCCACTCCCCTTGAGCCAACACTGGATCTGCACCTGCACTATAAGATAATATCAAGAGGGAGAATAGGAGAGCACCAGTGTACAACACTGGATGTATGATGGCAATGAGTGTACTGTGCGACAAAATGGGAAAATGATAAGCAAACATCGACCATCTACATTGAAGATTACAGTGAATTAATTCACCAACTTATGCTTGTGGCATACGGAACACAGATGACTACATTATTCCGTGTTTAACTCACGCTTGTGGGATAACTAATAATACTCTCCCCCCCCCCCCCCCACAACAAACCACTTTTCAAATTTCAAGGTCTGGGCAAGCTTTGATTTTCGCCAACCTCATCCCCCCTCCCTCTGCTACTACACTACAGTTCATCAGATCTGTAGCAGCCAACCAAGCCTGGATGCCCAGTGATCAAGAGCTAAGACATCTGATTAGAACTGAGGTAACAGACTCCCTGATTAAACTAATCAAGTGGGCAGTTATCAGAGACTTTCAAAGCACTGACTACACAGCGCTTTATTACATTACATCAGAGAAGAGCAAACAAAATGTTTTGTTCATTAAGTGTGTGCCAATAGATGCTATGCTTTAGGTGGAGTTAGATGACATCGGTTTATATTGCCTTGAAAAGTATGAGTAAAGGTTGTATGCATTCGTTGTTACTAAGTAAAGTAAAAAGTCAAGTCTGTCACGAGGCCAATCAATGTGGCCAATCAGGCCGGCGTTTTGCGTTTATCTCCGGTTCAGTAGAATGAAATGACTGAGAATATATCTATTCCCTCTAGATGGAATGCTAGTCCATTGCAGATTACTCCCCAGCTAATGCCGGTACCATACTCCTGGAGTGGGTGGAGAGAGGCAAGTGGGGATGAAGTGACTTGCCCTAGGACACAACATATGACCAGCAGCTGGATTTGAACCCCTGACCTTCTGATCGTGAGTCACAAACCCTAACCACTACGCGTCACTCCCCAACATTTGTTACTAAATTCAAATTAAGAACACCGTCTGAGATGCCTGCGATACATAAGGTCTTTAGGACAAGGTGTTTGTACCTTTTGCTTATGTTTCTTCAGTTTGTTTATCTGTTCACCCTTAGCTTCCATTCTGGAGAAAACTTGCTCTAGCTCCTGTTCTAGTTGGTCTTGCAGCTTGAGTTCAGTGGTCTCCTGGATGTGTTTGGTGAGTTCTTGATGCTCGCTGAAACATGAGTAATGGTTTCATAGCGTCAAACATTAATACAGTCGACTTTCGTTAATACGAGGTCTATGGGACTTCCGACAATACCTTGTAATATCCGAAACCTCGTCTTAAGCTAGGAGCATTTTTCGTGCACAGGCCACATGCTCTTGTTGAAATTGTAATCCATTTGCCTTTAAAAAGTTAAATCATGTTCTCCATGAAATTATGATGTATAAAAAATGAAGTCATGACAGTATGTAACAGTAAAACTTGTATGGTAATTGAAAAGAATAAAAAAAAAACCCCAATAAACTGACTTTCAACCCAACAACGGGGCAAGCGGAATCGTCACCACCTGCGTACCGTATCAATGCGATGTCACCTACCTGTCATGATCGTGAAGGCACTCACGTAAGTACATTAACATTTTAGTTGATGACCAACAGAACAGTTGCATTCAGTGTTTACGTGAAGACGGGGATACCAGCGATTTATTTTCAATGTGGGCAGTAGAGGGCATGGGTTTGAGTTGAATTGTTAATGCCCCGGTTATGTTAAATAATTTTAGCGGGAAATGCGGGTGACTTTTGTTCAACAATTAATTAGGATTAAGAGCATGGGTGGGAGAATACTTCATTTTTAAAAATGGGATTTTTACGTATCTCGAGTCAAGTTGGGGGGGGGGGGGACTTCTTCTGTTTTTCTTGTTTTGAACTTTCCCAAAAAAATTAATAAACTGCGTATTTTTAATTCTTTTGGGATACGTTTTTGGGGGAGGGTATTTTAAAACTTGCCAGGGATTTGTTTTTTTTTTAACACGCATTATTTTTTTTCCAAAACTAAGCTGAGGTTTTGGGAGGGTATTTCAATATTTTTCGGACTTTTCTTTCTGAAATTGATTCATCTACTTTTGGTAAGTGCATTTTTGTTCGGGGGGGGGGGGGGGTATTTTATTGTTTCCAGGGATTTTATTTTCAAACATAATAAACATGGAAGGCCTACCGCTGTAACATTTGATCTGTAATTTCCCTAGTTTGATATGCAATTTTCTTATTTTACCAGTAAGTTTGTACAAGTTGTTCCTTTAAATGAATAAAGTTCCTTTAAGAACCATTCTGTGTGTGTTTAATTCCCCAAATACCCTGATTGTCTAATAGTTTAGGCCTAATGAATATTTAATCAGGTTTTGCTCTCACATGCTTTTCTTTTTCTCAGTTGAGTGAATGTACCCTATAAGGACAGATATGTGGTGTATGGTTGATTGTATGTGTGTTGCTGTAATGTGACTATTGTTGAGTGCCATGGTTAGTGGAGCTTGGAATTTTTGTCAGTGTTTCTTGGGGTGCGGCCTAGTCAGTTGAGACCAGAGACCGATAGCAGAAGAGTCAATATTTTGCAGGACTCTTGAGCAGAATTATGCTTTGCCAAACCTATCCAGTGTGTTCATTGCCTAAAAAGTGCTGAATATTTCAACAGCCTTGTGTGACAAGCAGATTCTCTCAGTATATACGAATGAAGAAACTCCTAACCGTAAGTTTACACAAATTTTGATTTTATTATTTGTCACCATTTTCAAGTTGATTGATCTTTTATGTGATTGTATTAAATCTCAAAATTGTTCATCAAGACAGTGTAAGATTAAGGTGCTTTGTGAAAACATGAAGATAAAATAATTCTGTTTTTCTTTAAGACTAAAAATGTAAGGTTTCAATTTAGTGAACTGGATTTTGGTATAATATTAATTCTGTAGATGGCACGTATTCCAGGGTTTGAAGTTGATCCACTTTTACATCATCTCTGTTGTGCCGAGATCTACCTGTACTTGCCCTACCAGTACCACCTGATCTGTTGGACGGGAATCGGGGTGTGGCACTACAGTGATCACCAAGCTTAGCATCGCCAACTTCATCACCTACCCCTATCAACTGTGATGTCCCCGGAACATTTAGGACTGATAATGTATCAAGTGTCGGGAAAAATTCTGTAAATATTAAGATTTCCTGATCTAGAGGTCCGGAGATATTGAAAATACTTGTAGAAAAAGTAAAACTTGCTAAGAACAGGAGAAGGTTTATGGCATATGTAACTTAAGTTGAAGGTTTTCAGAAGATTCAGTTTGAGGTTTATGATAGTGGATTGAGGTTAAATTTAATACTGATTAAGGCTGGTTGGCATTGAAGATTTTCAGTGGATTGTAAAAACGTCAAATTAAAATTTTGATGTGAAAGAGATTTACCCGAATTGAAAACCGATTGAAAATTTAGACTTGAAATTTGGAAGTTGAAAACAGAAATTTAATTCACATATAGATATTGGAGTTGAAGTTTATTGGATTGATACACTGCAGAATTTGAAATTGTTATTGTAGGTGAATTTGGAAAATCTTGAAATCAGTAGAAGTTTTGAGACTGTATTTTGGAAGTGATTTTTGAAGACAGTAAATTTTCTGGAATTTTAAGTGAGTTTCGTAAGTTTGAGAAATATAGATACTGAAACTCAGTGAAACTTGAAATTTAAGGTTATTGAACACATTTCAAGATAATTTTGTTTTTGGAGATTGGTAATTGATCAATGGTTTAAGACCCGAAGTTTGCAAATTGAGAAATAGTTGAGAATTGATAGATATTGGAAATTCTCGTAGTTGAATTTGGAAGTGATTTGTTTTTGAGATTATTAATTTATTGAAGCGTTGAGAAATACCAAATTTGAAGAAGTTTGTATATTGAGAATTTATCGGAAATCTGTACCTGGATTTGAACAAGTCAAGTTGTAGAAATTATTTGGATTTGTGAATTTCTATTTTGTGAAATTTGGGGATTTTGTGTAAATAGAATTGCATATTGTATATTGTATATAGAATATTGAGAAGTGTCTAGTTGGTTTTCATTCATTTCATGGGAGTGTATGGCAAACTTCCTAAATTCTATTTGTCCTGTGGAGTCACCAAAAGTGACTGTGTGACAACCGCGATCGTGCGTTCCGGCTGGAACAACCGCCCGTTGTCAGCCCTCTTCCTTCGGGCGGCACCATAAAGAAACCCTGTGATGGCACGGGAGTCGCAAAGGCCTATTGTCTGCCTTGTTTGTACAGGCGGCACGAGAACCATCATAAAGAATCCTTCTGATAGCTCGGGAACCGCAGACGCTTGTTGTCCACTTTTAGCCCCCTCATGCAACACGTGAAAATGCAAACAATTGTGCGCTCTGGTATAAAAACTGCAGCGCTGAAGTTGACAAGCCTCATCACGGTGCCAATTAAAACTGAATAGGTTCGTTGATTGACAAATTGTTTCCCCAAATCGTCGGGACTGACAAAATATGCTCGTCTTAACCAAAATCTCGTCTAAACCGTGCTCGTTTTAATGAGAGTCGACTGTAGTATCATTCAAAAACATTAAATGCTACTATTCATTACTTGATCCCTGTGGTCATTCATGACCATTTGTGATCATTTCTTAATTGTTTCACCACGGTATTAGATTGTAAAACTTCATGGCTTCTGAGTTTTAAGTTTTTCTGTTCGAAAACTTACAAAATCCCAGAATGTTATCCCGTGCTAAGGTGCATCCTTAATTCTTTGTAAAATAAAACTGGAAAGCTGATTGGAATGTCTGATTGGAAGGGGAGAAGAACCAATTTTTCAATCCTAGGGGAATCTTTCCCTTCTTTAAAAACTTTTCAGAAAGGGTGTTGACATGTATACATGTAAATGTATAATAATACATGTATGTATACATGTCAACTGATGTTAGATGTACATGTATAATTTATATGTACATGCACTTATGTCCGTATATAGGGCATGTACATTTTATGTACCGTAATTTCTGTAATATATGCAAATTTTGTCACTTCAGTAAAGAAATTAAATGGGGGGGGGGGGATTGAGGGAAAACATGTCTCATCGTAAATTAGGGCCTACATATCGGCAGAAGTTTTTGAGCAAATACGATACTGAAGTTTTTTCTTTCGTTAGGTAGAAAATGGGAAATTCATAATTTTTTAGTGGCAATCAGATTTTCGTTATTTAACCCTAACTCCCTAGGGGGTGTACAAAATCGTATTGAAATTGGAGGATTCAGGACTGTTAGGGCTATCAAAAAATTTGTAATAATTACAAAAAATTTGTAATAGTTGGCAGCTATGTGTCTGGTCATTGAATATAATGTCTTTTTCTGTGTGTGATGTTATTACTTTTGCATGTTTGCAGAGAGAAAGAAACGAATCTCAAAAAATATTAACGGTGCTAAGTTACTAATCTTACTTATAAACTCCCAGGCTTCCAAAACATGTTTGTGTTGGTGGTGGCTATTTTTCAAAGCACTACTGCAGCTCAAACTGATTTCCATCCACAATGACACTTTATCACCAGTTCTTCCAACCACACTCTTAAATTCCTTGATCAAAATCTCGCACTGCTGATGGGTCTCATCCCGGCAATATTGACACCAATGTGTTTACGAATTACTAGCTCACGATCGTCACTGCACAGTGCATGCACAATGCACACACACATCCACACGTGATATACAAACAAGGTGCAAACGCATTGAAAATTATTTTTAGTCTGGTCCTCAAGTACTCCACTGTGCACACTGCATTTATGTCTTTCAGGTTCTTGACCGCATTACTTATTAGACTTGTCACCAGTCCATCCATTATCTTAAATTAGGGCCTATATTTTGCCAGAAGATTTCGGGCGACATTACGAAAACAGAAAACGTTGGAAATCTGGAATCCGTAAAAAATTCCGCAGACGTTTGACTTAAGTCCGGAAATCCGGAAAAATCTGGACAAATCTTACCCCTGACTTACACATGAGGCAGGCAGCTACAACATGCACTGTGGCATAGGGCAGACGTACATGATGTTGCCCATATATAAAATGGGCCAATTTATAGCCAAATCCAGAACAGTCCATTACTACAATTTTATGAGCAATACTCACAATGCAAGCTGCCCAAACTCATCTTGCAATCCCAGCAACAAGTCGGAGAGATCACTGTCACTGCTGTTGCCTGATGCTAATGCTCGTGATTTCTTCGTCTTTGATTTCACTTTGTTGGGTTGATTCCTTATTGATGCCTTTCCACACCAAGCAGAATGATGAGTCTTCATCAGAGCAATCAAATTCTGCATGTTCACGTTGACGTTGTGGCTGGGAGTAATAGCCTGAAAAATTGAAGGTAAATATTATGCACATATAGACTGGCAATGAGGACACTAGTGCACGTCTATGCGTCCCAAGGGACTGTGAGTGACCAGAAAGAGGGTCCCATTTCTTCGGCGAGGGAAATAGGAACTTTTTCTGGTTGCTCACAGGCCCGAGGGGGCATAGACGTATTAACCGATAATGTATCAAAAATCAACCGATAATGTATCAGTATGGGGAAAAGGTGTACACAAATGTTTGTAAAAAACTTTGTTTTATGTCCTATATATGCCGCAACACTTTTTTTACCAGGGAGGGGGTCTGGGCTATTGGATCAAACTCCCCCCCCCCCCCATTATTTCGTATTTAGAGAAAAAGGCATCTTTTGAGGTATTTTTCAAACTTTCCAACCGCCGAAATGTATTCAAAAGTACTGAGAAAGGGAGAAAAAGTACAAAAAGCTTGAAATGCGCTGATACATCCTGTATCATGAACAGCGCCCCCAGTGTCATGTGGTCTTCAGCCCCCCCCTCAGTTTTTTATTTAACCATGGAGCTATATGGGCTCCGTGCACAAGTCTCCTTCAGAGAGTTGGGGGAGGACCAAGACTGGTTCCCGGTCCATCCACTGCGTATTTTGAATGATGCAAAGTTATTGGGGGAGGGAATAGTCTGTGTATAAAGATACACAGGCTAGTCGCTAATAGTCAGGTCATATTTCAAGCAAGCACTGTGACTAGTCAAATTCAGTTAACAGACATAAGCAGGCAAGTGGTAGGCACAGCTGGCTTATCAATCACCTACAGTCTAAGCATAGCATATCCAGTCAATCCTGCTTTATGTAGACTGTGAGCTCTTAACTGTTAAAAACAGTCACTTGATTGATTTTGACTGATTATTTTTTTGACTGACTCATTATCTAACTCATGCTCAATGGTGGAACATGAAAATTGTAGTGCATCTGTCTCCAAAACTTTTTTTCGGCCATGTTGCATATGGGATACACAGCACTACATTAGTTCAGATTCCACTAATGCTTGTTGGACACGTAATAATATGCTACGTACGATTCCCATTTTTAAATCACGTACCGTGCCAGCAACAAATGGAACGTTTTCCATTTTGAGTCGTAGATGTCTTGAAGTGCAGGGCTGTTTGCTATGGCAAGGTATCTTGGAGGACACAGGTGCACAGGTGGCTGGCACTTTCTTCTTCTTGGCTCTCTTCATCTTATGTGCAGTGTCTTTGCCTGACAACACCTTATTGGATTCATTCCAGGATTGAAGCTGGACAAATATCAAAAAAAGAATATGCATGTTTCTGGAAAGCATGTAATAAGTCTAACCTTTAGTTGGTTTGTTCTTTTGGAATTTCTCAAGCTTTCAGAATAGAAGTTAGATGTATGTGCAGAACACATCCTGGTGGAAAGTGTATGGTTTGCAGTGATAAACTAGGATTTATATATTACAGTCATGACACAGCTTTGTCTATAATATTTCCAGGTGTAAAACAACAGCAAAGGCCCCAAACATTGATTAGAATACAGTCAGTGCGACAATTCCAGATCGCTTTTTTATCCAAACCACTGTACATCTGTCCATGTTCAGAGTTTCCGTGTCCGAGTGACATCATTTCGTAGTAAAATACTCCTCTTCAAGTTAAAACCAAATATGTTCACACAGACATGGCTTTTGTACAGTACTGAGCCCGACAGTTGCGAATCACTTTCAACAGTTCCGGATCACATGCGCTACTTGTTACATGCACAAATTCATCCAATCACAGCGCACTCAGTGCGCGCGCTGTGTGTCACGCCTTCATCATGTAAACTGCACACAAAACTGCATCGTGTGCATGGGTGATCTGCAACTGTCGCACGCGGGGATAAAAATCTTTTGGCGAATACAGCAATTCATTTAATTCAAATAATAAAATCATTCTTACTCAGTGATACTCAAGATAATTTCCCAACAAGAAAACCTAAGACAGTGAAGAAAAAACGATAAATGTTGGCTACGTTCCACAGGACACCAGAATGTTGTCTTTATGCACTTCCTTTCAAAGGCCAGTTTAAAAACAAGCGAACATTTCGCCGAACTGGATCGCAGGTAATGTTTGAGCGATTTCCAAAATTTCTTTTCCCCGACAATTGCACAATGATAGACCTTCAAATTGGTAAAAAAAAAAAAAAAAAGTTTGGTTACAGTACAATTAATGATCGGGAACTGTCACACTGACTGTAATTACCCGAACTTCCCTGGACTGCAGCCTTTCACGTTGGTGTTTCTCTTCTGTAACCTTGTGCTCTAAGTCTTGAATTTTACTCTGTAAAACAAAAGCATTACACATGAACAAAGAAGTTAGTCTCTGAAAGCACTGGGAAATGGACAGGGAAGCCTTGGTAAAATGGAAAACAAAACAAAACAACAAATAAATCACTATGGAAGACAGCGTGTATGAACATAATAAAGATATTTATATCAGGTGATCATTCAATTCTCTACAATACTCAACCTTTGTTGTAAATGCAACCTGTCCAACGAAACTTAAATGATGTTTAAGTCGCAACTTGCCAAATGGGTGGTTGAATTTTTTTGTCGTTAAGTGAACCCTCACCTGTGAGTCATCGACTAATGGTACCTTTCCCTATTTATTTTAGTTCTACCAAACAAAGCACTATAAAACATAGTTGCAGCAATTAAATAAGTTGCCTTTATCCTGTCATCGAGTAGTGCGATCTCAAAATGAACTCTTGAACACAGAAAATACATACATAGACAAGCTATATCAATTCTGTGAATTAACATGCACTATCGATCACATAGCCATGCACAGACTGGTTACCGCATTTTCATCATGTCTTCTAAATTGGCCCCTGCGCGGCGGGGCGGGAACCAGTCTTCGCTGCTTTGAGCTAGGTTTACGCACGTGATTATAGTCACCGTGACATCGATTTGCGAAGTAGTTATATCGCGAAGCGAATTTGTAAAAATAACGAAGGCTTCTTTTGAAAAAAAAATAGCAAATGTAAGTAAGAAAACAAATAAATACCAGCATTTTTGACGCAAAAGGGTTGTTGAGAGGTATTTTGTGAAGACAGAAAAGACAACAAGATTTTATTTTTATTTTTTCAATCTGTTTTTTTGTTTTGTTTTGAATTGTCGATAAAATTTTAAGGGTCGCAGCCTTAAAAATAGGGTCGGTCGGGTAACCGGAAGCAGAAGTATTTTTTCTTTTGGCCTAACCATTGAGTGAGCATACAAAATGTCACAGACCACATTACAGCAGGCAAGATTTTCCCAGCTTGCAAACACATTTTGGCTACAAAACACATACCTCCGCAAGTGCTTGTGTGGCCTTTAATTTGGCGTGTTCTCTTTCCAAATCACGTATTTTCTCTTCCTCAGCTCGGACTTGCTCACTTGCTTTCTGCGTCCGCTGCATACTTTGAAGCTCTTGTTGTCTAAATGCACTGTCTCTTTCCTGTTCAGCGCTACGTACCATGTTCCTCATATACTCCAGTTGCTTTTCCAACAACTGACTACGACTCTCTGCAGAGGCAAGTTGACCTTGTAACTCTTGAGGATAAATGAAAGAAAAACATTGAAGTAAAAAGCCATTTGAGGCAAATCTAACTGTCAAATTTCCGATGAGAATAGTCCTAATGTTACTACATGTATAGTACTATTAGTAGCTGGGTTTTCACCAAGGCCAAGTTACAGCAAACCCCAGCTCTATTCTCATTGGAAATTTGACAATAAGCACTGAGGGAACTTGTACAAACAAATTTGAAATTGGTGCTTTCTTGGTATGAAGAAATGTTCGCAATGACATATTTTCCCAGTTCTTTTTAAATTTCTTTCCTGACAGGAATGTACTTAGTCAGGACCAAGGAAGTCTGCTTTTATAACTAAATCCAATCTGTAACCACATTGATTAAAAGTTGCGGTTGCAGATTAGGGTATCAATGGGAAGCAACGAAACCCAGGTAAACCAGGTATGAAAAGATATATATTTTCTAGGCAAATTAAGGGCAATACTAGTTTTTTGCGAGTTAAATCCAATGTTACCTTGAGTTTGCTTTGAGCTGGGTACATGTGGAGTTTGCTTGACGGTGTGCTGTCTCTTGACCAAGTCACGGTATTGAGCTGTCTCACTGGCCAGTGATTTCAAGTTACCTTCAGCCTCAGTGCGTTCCTGTTCAAGCCTACGAATCTTTTCCTGAAGACCTAATAAAGCTGATATCACAGCTGTGATGGTTAAACAAAAACGTTATTATTTACATGCATGTGCAATCAGTGCGACAGCTCCGGATCATTGACAGTTCACAATCACAATATTTCATAAATATTAATTTAATTGTAACCAAACTTTGTTTTCAAGATTTTATTTGGTTTTAACTTGAAGAGACATTTTACTTTGAAATGATATCACTTGGACATGGAAACTCCGAACATGAATGGGTGTACATCGGTTTGTATAAAAAGTGATCCTGAACTGTCACACTGATAGTAGATACCACACGGTAACTGAAATTGCCCAGATTTGGACACCTACAGAATGACCGTTTATAGTCTTGGTCTTGTTTTTGATATTTTCAGGTCTCCTTCCAATCTAAAATAAATTATACCTATGGTGGTTATCCGAGAAAAACAATAAGTAGCACCATTTTTGAATACTTTCATTTCAAACTCTTATTTGTTGCATAACAAAGAAAATACCGAATAAGTTGACTCAGAGATTTACCTTTCTGTGCCTTAATTATTGAAGCAGAATTGTATGTTTTTGTGGGAAGGGAAGTCTTGTGGAGGGGCATGGTCTTACCTCTGTTGTTGCTTTCTGGTGCAGTATTCACTCTCGTTGGAGTTTTCACTACTGGATACTGATCACTCAGCAAAGACAGATTAGCTGGATAGTCTTGATATGAAGAAGTAGACTCCTGCGGCATTCGTGCCGAAGCCATCTTTTATTAGCTGATGTCAGATCTTCAGGAAACTTCAAATCTGGTGCAAAATTAAAAATTCATGAGGTATCATCTGTCCGGTTCTAATACTAGAATGATTGACTTTCTGTTTTATAGAGCGACACAGCGATGCATGCAAAATTTCCTGAAAACTTGTTTTACCTGGTTGGTAAACAGGAAAACCTATATCAAATTTTTTACCTCTCGACGACTAGTTATCCTGTAATTTTCAGGGCCAATTTTAAGATAGTTTGTCTGATATTTGATTAAGATCTCACACTCTCATTAACACCATGGGGGAATATAAATACACTAGGCAGTGCCAATTCCCCTTTGTCTGGTCGAATATAGCCGGCCTAACAAGGAAGTGGATATTTGGTCGGTGTTGCTTTTCTTGTAAAGTTTTAGTTAACATTATATTCACAGTGGCGTGGAGGCTTTTTATGATTGGTTAATATGGTTTTCTTTTGGTTTGTTGGAGGTCATCTTTGATTACTCTAGCAAACTAACATGGCTGATATGATGTAATCAAAGGGCCCATCAGGTAATCAGAGGAAACCTTCTTGAGAATAGGTTAATCACTGCAATGTACTGTAAATGCGCAAGGCACACTGAATTGCACGGGACCAACTGTAAACCACGTACGAAAATCATAATTTCACTTGCAGAGCTAACAGGTACTCGGCGTGCTCCTATCATTTTGCGCGTACAGCTAGTCGGGGTACCAGCGCAGCAACCCAGGTGATCATGAAAAGTTACAAACGTTCGGACCCGCCTCCATATTTCTCTCTCCAAAAATTCAAACTTATTTGGAATGCCGATTATTACGTTGATTCCAATATTCACTGTATTCTTCACGTGGAAATACTTAATATTATTGGACAAATGACGTCCATGTTGAAATTTTGACGAAGTCGAAGGGTTTTACTACACAGTTACGCGTAGCGTTTGTTACTGATGCCATGTTCATGGTTCTTGAACATGATGATATGACATAGGCCATATTTAATTATTTCTAGTGTTGCTCGTTATTTAAGTATTTCTAGTGTTGCTCATTATTGTCCAGTTTTTAGTCGATCACACATGTTCTTGTTTTCTCATTCTTTATCTTGTATGTTCCAATTTTTGCGCGAACAAAATTTCCATCTTCGTTTGAACAAAATCGAAAAATGTGGTTTTGGTTACCACGTTGGAAAGAATGTTGCAACCTGACCAGGCCTGGTTTACCCAATAGGCACAGTAGTTAGTAGGCACTGTGGCTAGGGCCTACAGTGTGCCATAAAACATGTAAACAGGCCTACCCACACACAGACATGTGTGTGTATTTGCCTGCAATCGTGGACACCCTTGTCTCCCTTTTGTTTGTACTTTTAAGGAAGACCTCCCATATGTTTTGTACATGATCGCCAAATTGGAGAACTCTCGGGAATTTGGGACCCTATTGTCCTCTATTGTTCAACCAACGTCCCCTATTGAATGCAGAGACAAACTCACACACATACAGTTTTGTTTACTTGTAAATAAACATTATTTACAGAGGTAGTCCAGTAAATTGGCTAAGTCGTACACAACCACTGAACTGCTGAAGGTAACGTCGGGTTTAGCTGGAGTTACCCAGTCCCAGCCCTAAATTTTGTCATTGGTGTTGGTTAATTGTCCCTAAGCCTAAGGCTAAGGCCAAAAAAAAAAGTCTCCGGTTTCTGGTATGCGCGCGCGTCGCCGTAGCCATGCGCGTCGGCAAAATGAAAAAGTTTTTTTTTCAATACAAGATGATGTCTCAAAACCGCCAAACTCACTGGTTTGACTGGAATCCTGCTGCTGCACAATTTTAACGTGTTTTTAGATGGGGGTTATGATCGAGAATAAGCTTTATGTGGCCTCTTTGGACTCCCATATATTTGCACTAAGTTTAGTCAGGCACCATTTGCAGTCATCAGCCGACATTTAAAGCCAAAAAAAAAAAAAAAAACAAGTAAAAAAAAAAAAAAAAAGCCGCGTCGCCGCACCACTTTTGGGGCAAGCTCCATACCAGAAACCGGAGACTTTTTTTTTTCGGCCTAAGCTAAATAAAAAATGACAACCAATGAGAAAATGCTGGGTAACTCCAGCTCCTATCCTACGTAGGGTTGCAACATTCTTTCCCATCGTAAGTCTACCTACCAGTCTGTCACACTCACAGTACCTCTGTACTTAAAAAATTACACAGCCAATTAAATATATTTTTGATACAAATTCCTCAACTTTACCATGAACTGCGAAGTGCGATCTTTTTTGAACTCGGCACAAAATTTACGGTAGCGCCCTCTATGTCACTGAAGGATAGCATGGTACCATAACAGTCGTCTTGCCCCCCAGACTCCACTGTTTATGAGCGCATACTGCGTATACCGCGTGCAGATATAGATATAGGCGCCGAAGGCAAAGTACGTGAAGTATCGAAGGTAAAAAATGTCAAAAATGTGTTCATTTGCATTTCAGTAATATTCTTTTGGACGTGAGTATTAGAAGCTAGTACAACCTTATTTTCACATGTAGGAAAGATTGTATTCAAATATTTTCTCAATTCTTACTTTTCCAACCAACTTTAGTTCGTTCATCATGTTCATGTAGCTCTGTCACGCCCCAACTATCGCATCGGTCCCAACTATAGTTGGGCCTGTCCCAACTATAGTTGGGCCTGTCCCAACTATAGTTCCACAGTTGGGCTGGCCCAACTATAGTTGGGCCTGTCCCAACTATAGTTGGGACGGTCCCAACTGTAAGTTCCATTGTTGCGCTGGCCCATCTATAGTTGGGCCACTCCGATCTTTTTATTTTGCGGTGTCCCAACTATAGTTTACATTGATGTACAACCATAAAACGTTCCCTACAGCTCTGATACACGTCTGACTTTACTGGGGACCACTGAAATTAGCTATTGATGGGGCGAATCTATAGTTGGGCCACCCCAATCTTTTTATTTTGCGGTCCCACTAAAGTGTACATTGTTGTACGATTATAAAACATTCCCTACAACTCTAATACACATCTGACTTTACTGGGGATTAATGAAATGATCTATGGGTGGGGACCATCTGTAGTTGGGCCACCGCAATATTTTTATTTGGCAGTCCCAACTATAGTTTACATTGATGTACGACTATAAAACATTCTCTACAGCTCTGCTTACATGTCCGACTTGGGACCTTTGACATTAGCTATGGGTGGGGCCCATCTATAGTTGGCCGGCCATGGCAATCTTTGAATTTTGCAAAATGTTGCTGGATAATAAAACCCAGCAGCTGTAACTAGGCAGTACCACGTGACCGGCCAGCCTTGCGGCATGCATGCACGACGAATACACGGTGCCAGCGCCGCGGAACATTTAATCCAACAAGATCTATCAAGCATGAAGCATCCGGCGCAACTCCAGTCCTAACTATAGTTGGGCCGACCCAACTGCCGCACTATAGTTGGGACAGTCCCAACTATAGTTGGGACCGATGCGATAGTTGGGGCGTGACAGCTCTACTGAGCTGCTGAGTGGAGCGTAGCCCTGTTGTGCCCATTCTTAAAAATCACGCATTCTCGAGAATGGGCATGCACATTCTTGAGAATGTGCAACTGGATCCTTGCTCAATCTTGGCAAAAAATAACTCTTCCAGATTGAGCGCACATTCTTGAGAATGCGCGACAAGATAACGGTCTTGTCGATGACGAGCACCGGCTGCGCTTGGCAAGTCTAGCTGAATCCTCGTTCACTGATTCTCAATAATTATACTGTTGCAACGCAAGGCGCTGAAAAGTAGAGTGGATATGATAAGTAAAGGCGTATTGATAGGGGGGGGGGACCGGGAAAAAACAAGAGACATAATAATACTAGTGGCATAGTGCAAAGAATTCTGATTTTTGGGATAATAAAAGCGGGGGGGGGGGGGGGGGGGGGGGGACGTAAGAATGAAGAATGTGAAGAATGAGAATGAATACTGCGACATCCCATAGTGCTAATGCTATTACCCATTTAAACTGCCACCAATTTATTGTTCACACCCCACCATAACGTCGCAGAGCTGGATTCTATCTAGTCAAAAGAACAATTTTGGCAGCTTCTGGACATCGTTTTTTTTTCGTGGCACGCACATGATACATGCAGGGACTTGTAACTTGTCTAGCCTAAACAAAGCACTTCCCAGACTAGTTCCCAGTCCTCCGTTATTACAAAACTTCCCATAGTGGCAGAAAAAAGCAATAATAACAAGTTTAATTTGATTCAAATTATCGTAGTTATACGAGTACAGAAGCACAGAACATTTTCTTTCCTCTTTATATGAATTGTTTCCCTTTTAACCGCTATACAATTCATTTAACATAATTATGTCGTGCAATGTTTGTTAAGATTGGGCAAAATTCATAAATTGTGCACGTGATATTCCCACCCAATCTTAAGAATGAGCGCTCATTCTTAAGAACGCGTGCTCGTTCTTAAGAATGGGCGCTCATTCTTAAGAATGGGCGCCCATTCTCGAGAATGCGTGATTTTCAAGAATGGGCACAACAGCCCCACTAGTGTGGCCGTCGGTATGCTGCGCTGAACCTCTGGCCACACACCGTGGTACCGCGCGCTACTGAGGACGAAGTTTCATAAAATCTGCGGTCCGTTTCTTACATTCTCAATTTCTTTCTTTCTTATGGTTGTATTCTATGATGTCTCACCTATCACTTCTGGGATGCTTAGGTCTAATGATGTTCCATTTTCCGAGATATTCTTCAATCTTTCTGGAGCCCATATGCACTCGTGAAACGTCTGGTGATGGCAGCCATTTTGAATGGGACAAGAGATGACCTCAAGCTGTGACGTCGCGTTTATGCAAATTGCTTGTCGAGCGCGCGAGGGCGCGAGTTGCAAATGCGACGGCTGTTTCCTGTACCATGCATTTATCGTCAGGGGGCCACGTGCACCGATCTCTATTCAGGATCTACGGCACAGGAAACAGCCGTCGCATTTGCAACTCGCGCCCTCGCGCGCTCGACAAGCAATTTGCATAACCGTTTCTAGTGTTTCAAGCAGGTTTGTCAAACATGATTTACCCTGGGTGAATTCATGCTGCCTGTCAGATAATATCTCATGTTGTTGTACGAACTCAGGAAATGCATATTCATAATCTTGCCCAAGCGCGCCCCCATAATGCATACATTACAGATGAGCGGTAAGTTCAGACTATTTTGTTCTTTTTTCAAAATTACCGGGTGTTTGGAACAATTTAAGGGGTCTTATGGAATGTCATGAATGTGTGGATCTATCCAGGGTTACTGTCTTTCTCATTTGTATTCTCTTTATCAGTTTTTTGGGGGCTTTTCTCTTCGCGAGGGCATGCACAAAATGCATACTGTTATGACGACCGTGTACCTGTCACCAAAGTATGCCAAATCGGTGGAGCGTTTGTACGGAGGGTACCGTAGTTCAACGCTCCACTCAGTAGAGCTACATGTTCATGTTGACGTTTTAAAGTTTGGCGATCGTGAAGTGTAGCCGTAGGGCCCCTGTTTTGTTTTGATCAAATTAGAGTCAAAAATGTTTTTTATTGCTCAAAAATCACCTTTATAATCAGCAGACTTTTCTCAATTCGGCACAATTGCAGAATACCCGCCACTTTAACCACCTCGTACCTGGCTAGCTACGTAGTCACGGTTGATTGCCCTCAATAAACCTACTCAGCGCTACATGTATTATGTCCTATGCGTCATGCTCTACTGCACTCCCACTCCGTATCCGCGTAGCCGCCAACAGGGTAGTTGGTTTGGACTTATTCCCATAAACACATGATAAATGTGACAGAAATACTGGACTACCTCCGTATATCAGTCTCAGAGCCACATACGGCCTGTGAGCGTCCCGTTGCTAGGGGAGCCGAAAATTAATTAAAGATCTAAATTATTTTGTGAGCAGAAAATCAACCAGCTATAGTATGACTGCTAAATAGCACAAATCGTTAAATTCGGTACCTTCAGAGGTCTAGTTATCCAAAAAATCAAGTTGTCAAAGAATGCAGACGGTTTTGAGCAAGCATGGCATCTCTGATATTTACCAGACTGTTACCAGACCTGACCGGCCACCCTAATAATAGTCAAGAGGCCAAAGGGGTCAGGGAACCAGACAAGAGATCATCTACTGAGCGTGCGTCAACTTTGGCAAAGCGCACTGCGGCTGTTGCCTGTCATTCCAAAATCTTTGAAGCCCTCTGCAGTGAAGGGCGCCCTCTTGTGTGCGCTCTTCATCCGCAGTCGCGTATTGCATCCGGGCACTTCACAGAACTCTGATGTAGCGATTTTGCTACCGATTTTGATCAAGATTGTCTTCTCGTCCAGGACAGAAATTTCCAAAGTTAAGGTTTCCTAGACATTGAGGAACTCATACCGTTTCGAAAAAAACCTGTTCTTTTATCCAAAAATCTTCATCCATCTGGCCAAACGACGACGATCAGTTTTCAGCTGCCACAAATATCGTCTCGAAAATGTTCCTCCATGCTATTTCAAAATGACGACCGCATTGTAATGTATGCATTATGCGGGCGCGCTTGGGCAAGATTATGAATATGCATTTCCTGAGTTCGTACAACAACATGAGATATTATCTGACAGGCAGCACGAATTCACCCAGGGTAAATCTTGTTTGACAAACCTGCTTGAAACACTAGAAACGGTTACCCATGACTTAGATGAGGGCAGCGGAGTAGACATCATCTTCTTGGACTACCAAAAAGCCTTCGGCTCAGTCCTACATAGACGACTGCTAGGAAAACTGTCTACATATGGAATTGAAGGAAAGATAGCCAAGTGGATTGAGGGATTTCTAGTTGACAGATCTCAGGTAGTAGCAGTAAGGAATGCTGGATCAAGTCATGCAGACGTTGCAAGCGGAGTTCCTCAAGGATGTTATCAAAAGAACTTTCAAGCACATAACCAAGGATAGTTTTGCTGTATTGTACAAAACATACATAAGGCCTCATCTTTAATACTGCGTCCAAGCATGGAACCCAGGGCTGCGGAAAGATATTCACACATTGGAGAAAGTGCAAAGAAGAGCAACCAAACTGGTTCCTGCTGTAAGACATCTTAGCTATCCAGACAGGCTAGAGGCACTCGACTTGTACAGCCTAGAACAAAGGAGAACAAGAGGCGACCTTATAGAAGTGTTCATGATTTTCAACGGATTTGACAAAACAGAACCAACAAGATTCTTCAAAATCTCCAACACAAGAGAAACAAGAGGACACAACATGAAGATCTTTAAGAGTGGGATGAACA